ATCTCTCTCACTGGATGACTAATGACTGTCTGGAACTGGATGCATGTGCACTTCCTGTTCATTTCTGTCTGTTTCTCAATGCACGCACACTTGATTTCAATTTCAAAACCATCTTTCCCTGCAGTGCTGCTTTAGCGTCATTGAGATACTATTATATTTTAGAGTGTTTTTGTTTTTATATTTTTATAAAAAATAAAATAAACAATTTCCCATTTAAATAAATGTTTTAGTAATGTTGTGTGTTTTTGTCATTTTATAAGTTTTTGTTTCTTTTTAATATGCCTGTATAGTTTTATTATTTTTATTTCAGTTGAATGGAGTGGAAATGAGAAATGTTGCCTTGGCAATCAGCTGAAATAAAATAAGTAATTTTTTTTTCATATTTTGTTTTATTTTATTTAACCTTTATTTTATTTCAACTAATAATTTTTTTTTATGGTTTTAGCTTTAGTTAACAATAATATCCCAGTTTCTCTGACTCTATATTGGCTTGATTGGACTGATTCAAATAAAAATGGAGCTACAGCCCATTTTTTACATGTTTCAATTGAATTCAAGCATCAAATTGTGATATAATACAGCAGAAGTAACTGGATAACTGTTTAACACAATTTTTGTATTCATTACCATTCAAAAGTTTGGGTTCAGTAAGATTTTGTGTCTCTTCTGCTCACAGAGGCTGCATTGAATTGATCAAAAATACAGATAAAATTGTGAAATATTATTACAATTTAAAATAAATGTTTTGAATATATAGTAAAATGTAATTTATTTCTGTGATGCCCAGCTGAATTTTCAGCATCATTACTCAGTCTTCAGTGTCACATGATTCTTCAGAAATCATTCTAATATGCTGATTTGCTGCTCAAGAAACTTTTATGATTATTATTAACGCTGGTAACAGTTGTGCTGCCCAATATTTTGTGGAAACTGTGATTGAGTATTATTTAATGAATAGAAAGTTCAAAAGAACAGCATTTATTTGAAATAGAATTCTTTTGAAACATTTAAATGTCCTTACTGTCACTTTTGATCAATTTACTGCGCCCTTGCTGAATATAAATATTAATTTCTTTCCAAAAAGCAGTTGACCCCAAAATTTTGAACAGTATAGTTCTGTAGTATAGTCTGTACAGATAGATAAAAAAATCAGACTGATATTAGCCAACGCTGATATATGTAACCTTGCTGATGACGCACAGCAAGTCTGTGTGTAGATGATTAGACTAGATGATTAGAAGAGCCTTAAATTAGTTACTGCAGCTCTTTGAGTCTGAAGGTGTGTGTGTGTTTTTATGTGTAGGATTTGTTAAAAATTCGTCTGCCTTTCCACACAGTCAGGTTGTTCACACATTAACATCTGACCTGAATTCCCCTCTCTTTCTGTGTGTGTGTGTGTGTGTGTGTAATCTCATTAGTCTGTACTGTAGAGCAGATCCTCTCATCCCTAATTCACTCCTACGTTCTTCTCGTCTAATTATCACTCCCTGTTTCTGTCTAGACACCTCCAGCTTCTTTCTAGGTTGTAGTTTGATCTGGTTTCCCAGTGCTTCTTCACTGGCTTTGCTTCACAGCCCACATTTTACTCTGAACATCACTTAGCGACGTCGTTTAGCCGTTTGAACGGACCTGCGACCTGTTTGTTTGCGAATCTAAGGTCTAGACGAGTATTTCCAGGTCTGGTCTGATTTCGTCCTGCGTGTTTGTTTCATAAGTATCTACTTAAGTTCGGTTAATAACGGTGGCGACGGTCTCCCACCCCGTTAATATTCCCAACTGCTGCGTCCGCAGATCTTTTCCGACATGTAGGGGGTCGTCATGGGAACCGGGGCAGGAATTTTCTCCGTCTGTTGGTAGGGGAAGGTGTGAGGAACACGACCCAGAGCGGGGGCTTTCGTCTGGGCTGATTTCATCAACGCAACAACAGCAAACTCAACATTCAGACCATTGAAATAAATCCGAATGAGATTATAATGTGAATTGTCTTTTGTTCTTTCCGTTTTTGTATTTTAATTTATGTATTTTGTTTGGTGCAACTCATCCCTAGTTTTAAGGCCAGAAGTATTGTAAGCCCTCTGTACTTGATACAGGTTTTTCAGGAAACCTGTTTGGAAACAGTCATTATTTTTGCAGTTCTGTTTGCTGCAACTGTAGGCGCCAGAGTTACATATTTCAGCTTTAATGCCTTAGCATTGTTGTCTTATTTTTCTCGGTTTAATTTCTTTTCTCTCCCTCTTATTTTTTCTTTAGTTTTTTTGTAGATCTTTTCTTTTAATTTTTCTTTTATTAATTTTTCTTTCTCGTTTTTTCCCCTTTTTTTCTTTTATTTTTTCGTTTTAATTCTTTCTTTCCGTCTTTTTCTTTCTTGACACTTAATTTACTTTTCTATTTTATTTTCATCTATTTTATTTGTTTATTTTTCTTTTCTTTTTCTTTTTCTTTTTCTTTACCTTTTATCTGTTTTCTTTTGTTTCTTTTCTTTTTCATTTCTTTTGCTTTTATTTTTCCTTTTCTTTCTCTTTTCCTTTTTCTATTTTTCTATTTGTTTTATTTTCTTCTATTTTGTGTAATTTTAATCATATATATTTCTTTTTTTACCTTTCTTTCTTTCATTTTTTTCTTTTCCTTTTATAATATTTTCTTTTTTCTTTTTCTTTTCTTTTCTTTTTTTTCTTTTCTTCTCTGCTTTACTCTCTTTTCTTTCTTTCTTTCTTTCTTTTTCAGATCTCAAAATGGCCTGAGATCTCTTGAAATGTCTGTCATTCTTGACATTTATATTTACTTTTGTTTGAACTTCAACTCATCCCTAATTTTAAGGCTAGAAGTATTGCAAGTGCTCTGTACTTGATGCTGGTTTTTCAGGGAACCTGTTTGAAAACAGTCATTATTTTTGCAGTTCTTCTTGCTGCCACTAGAGGCACCAAAATAACACACTTCTGCTTTAATGCAGCAACACTGGGGTCAAGGTTTCCATGGAGAGCTGATATAAGAGTATGTTTTCTTTGTCTTGCATCATGCGTTGGGGTCAGATTTTGCCTTTAATTGTGACCCGAGATCAAGAATGGTGTTTTTTCTGTCTCCAGTGTTCAGGTATTAACAGATGGTAGCGTATGGGGACACTGAAGGCAGTTTACTTGTGTGTGTGTGTGTGTGTGTGTTTCCAGAGGAATTAATCTGCGTGCGTCTCAGACAGCGCACTAACCGCAGTAATCATGGAGCAGGTTTACAAGGCCACCATCTTGCCAAATCCTGGTGTCTTTGCAGTAAAGCCGTCGTTCTGCTGGCGTTTGCCCGTCGCTGGTGCTGCTGCGAGACTCATTCAGTCTGAAGTGTTTTACTCATGTACTGTATGTCTCTGACTCTGGAGCTGAAGTCTTTAACCTGCGGCGTCTTTTCTTGCTTCCACTGGAAGCACAATGTAAAATCTGATCTGGATGTTTGTCAGATCTCTTTTGCACCAGCATGAACCGGGTGCTGGTTCAGAGTTGGTTCGACTGGCGAGCCTTCTAAGAACCCCTTTGCCTTTCCACGGGCTTGTTTGTCAGTCATTGAAGCGAAATCCATAAAGTTCTGTATTTTTGTACATTCCCAGGCTCTTTTTCAAGCTTTCCTGATCTGTCATTTCCTAAAATCACTTCAGTTAGCATCCACTCAAAGAGCGTTTGATGTGTGTGTGTGTGTGTGTGTTGCTATGGAAACCAGTTTGCACATTCTGTTCCATTGACTTGCTTTTGTCCAGAGAGATTTGTAGCTCAGAAACAGGAACGGGTGAATAACATGAAGAGGAGGCCGATGGCTGCAGGCAGAGAGTCTGTAGAGGAGGACAGTGGGAGAAAGGGAAATGAGAAGGTCAAAGGTCAGAGACTGAAGGCTCTTCAGAAACGTGACATGCTGCAGTACATGAGTCTTTGTCTCAAAAGAATAAAAAAGCATGCTTTTCAATCATTCAGTTGTCAAATGCATTGTGTCACTGAAGAGAAGAATCTTTGCTAACACTTAATGTATATAAAATAAGTTGTAAAGATATTTTCTTCTTTATAAATAACAGGTGCCAGAGCTATAATACATAATACCCGTTTATGTTCAAATGTTTAAACAGTATAATGACATATTATGTTGTGCGTTTTAGAATTACACTCTTTGAAGCAGTGACTATGAATCACTTAGTATCTCTTTTCTTTCTCTTCTTTTCTTTTCTTTTCTATTTTTTTTTAAAAATTCTTTCTCTTTTTCTGGATCTCTTTTTCTTTTTCCCTTTTTTCTTTTTCTTGTTATTTTTTTCTTTTAATTAGTTTTTACTTTATTATTAATTATTTGTTAATTTTTAATATTTATTTATATTTATATACGTTCTTTCTCTTTGCTTTTCTTATTTGTTTTCTTTTTATTCTTTTCTTTTTTCTTTTTACATTTTTTCATTTCGTTTTATATTTTATATATAATTTTTATAGTATATAATATACTTTTATTTTTATAAAATATAATGCTTTACAATCACAATTAGCCCTGTTTTAACCCCAGGTTAAGGCGAATATCTGTGTGTGTGATTTTTCTGGTTTGCATTGAACAAACTGCTGATGTAAAGACTGGTGGTCACACAGTGACTCCAGACTCTCTGTAAAGGCTGATAACAACACACACACACACACACACACACGTGTGTGTGACCTAGAAAAAGTATTACGGCCCAGACTGCAGCAGAGCACAGGGAAACGATAACCCATTTAACACACACACACAGTGTGCTGTACTCGGCCTTAATAAACAGCATGTTTGGCCATCAAAGTTTGTGGTTTATGTTCAGCAACATTTATTAATGTTTTTGAAAGAAGTCTCTTCTGCTCACCAAGGCTGCATTTATTTGATCAAAAATACAGTAATATTGTGAAATATTATTACGGTTTAAAATAGCTGTTTTCTATGTGAATATATAGTGAAAAGTAATCTATTGCTGTGATCAAAGCTGCATTTTCAGCATCATGACTCTGTTTCTCCCTCAGGCTCAGGATCTGAACGTCATCGAGGAGGTGATCAGAATGATGCTGGAGATTATAAACTCCTGTTTGAGTAACTCGCTCCATCACAACCCAAACCTGCTGTACGCGCTGCTCTACAAGCGGGAGCTCTTCGAGCAGTTCAGATCGCATCCGTCCTTCCAGGATATCATGCAGAACCTCGACACGGTGAGACATGACTCTGTGTTCCTGCTCTCTTCCAAGTACTCTAGTGTCTACATATACAGCTGCCTTCTAAGGCCACATCCTAACTGAAACGGAACCTTACAAGTTACTGATTTGAAATATTCTCCATAGGCAGCAACTCTGTTAATGTTAATTCACATGAGCCACACAAATAATGAAGAATAAATATGCAAAGCATACAAACTCACAGTTGATGCTAGTTAAGTGTAACATTGATGACTCTGTGTTCCTGCTCTCTTCCAAGTACTCTAGTGTCTACATATACAGCTGCCTTCTAAGGCCACATCCTAACTGAAACGGAACCTTACAAGTTACTGATTTGAAATATTCTCCATAGGCAGCAACTCTGTTAATGTTAATTCACATGAGCCACACAAATAATGAAGAATAAATATACAAAGCATACAAACTCACAGTTGATGCTAGTTAAGTGTAACATTGACGTGACATTGATAAAAGTATTAAATATATTATGTAATATATTTGTACATTAAAATAATATATAAAATATTATATTTAAAATCTCTATTTGTTTTAATCTATTAAAAAGTATAAAAACTAATTTTATATATAAAATGCATAATGTAATTGTTTAAAATTATATATGAAAATAAATTGTTACCATGGTAAAAAATTTTAATAATAATTTTATTAATGAATAATCAGCAAAATAAATATTTCTAAACCAACGTGTTTTGCAATATTTAATTTAAAAAAGAAAACACTTCACACAGTAGAAATAGATTAATATAGTGAGTTGTTTTTATATTATATATTTGTTATTTATTTATAATTTTTTTTATATGAACATAACAATTATAAATAAAATTATGCTTTATCTATTAAAAATTATTTATAAGAAATGTATATATGCAATCAGTATTTTAAGCAATTAAAAATAAATCTAAATTCTCAAATCTAAAAATGTATTCAAAATATATGTAATTCATAGTTTAAAATCTAAAATTAAATTAATGTATAAACATGAATTAAAAATGATCTATAAAAATGTATTTATGAATTATTTAAAAAAACTAAATAAATGGTGTTTTATTCTACTAAATATTATATATAAACACTAAAATCCTTGTTTTAATGAGCACAAAACACATATATTGAGTGAAATAGTTGTTTAAGGAGATGGAACTGTTTTGTATTCATACCTTTTAGCTATGAATAAAACATAGTTAAACACTCTGCATTGTGGGATTGTGTCATCTGCGAAGTATACCTGCAATACTGCTTTTGAATTTGTTAAAAACAATGTATCTTTTAACAACAACAAACGGTTAAAAAAAACCTACCATTGTACTCCATCAAACATGCTTAAATATGATGCTTGAAATGTATATGTTGTGGCTACAGAGAGATGAAGAGGCAGAAACACAGAGATGATGCAGTTGTGTTGCCCCTGTGTGTGTGTGTGTGTGTGTGTGTGTGTGTGTGTGTGTCACTCTGCATTGTGGGATTGTGTCATCTGCGAAGTATACCTGCAATACTGCTTTTGAATTTGTTAAAAACAATGTATCTTTTAACAACAACAAACGGTTAAAAAAAACCTACCATTGTACTCTACCATCTGTTACCATCACTGTACCGTTGTACTGCCACAGTACTGTGCTTATGATGCCTAAATATGTTGCCTAGGTAGGCAGCTCACTGGACAGGAACAGAGCTTTCGCTTTTGCTTAGAAGCATTGTTCTCGTATCGGTGTAATTCAAAACAAAGCCCTCAGTGCAAACGTTCGTATGCTGTAGATGCAGAGATTTGCACTGGACCTGCTGCAGTTATATTGTGCTGTAGTAGCCCAGGGGGGTTCTGGGTAATCTACAGAAGTCAGGAAGTAAATTCCCTGTTTAAACGCACACACTGGTGCATTAATGTTTCATGACTCACTGCAGCCTTAAACACACACCGCAGAATAAAATACACCCGCAGATCGCTTGAAATATTCATCCAAAACCCGAGAGAGGCTGAATGAATAGAATACTAGTATACTGTACACTATGTACTATATACTGCATACTGAAGAAGATAGAATGTGAAATTTCCAAAATTCAGAAATTGAAAGTGAGTATTACAAACAGTATAATACACTGACATTGTCGGCATCCAAATGTGTCAGAAATATATACAGTATTTGTTATACAGTATACAGTGTAATACATATACGAAGATCACAGTTGATTCCTGTAGAATTTGACATTGGCATGTTGCTAAGATATTTTGATATTTAAAAATATTATATATAATATATTAATGAGCACAAATGTGCAATCAAAAGCGCAATTAATATTAAATAATATAATAAAAGTAATATTAGTATATAATATAAAAAAATAAAGAAATTATATCTATATGTATAATATTGATATAATGATATGTTTCATATTAAAATGTTGCATGTAAAATTTATATTTTCATTGATTAAAATGATATATGAAAATAAATGTATATTTATATAAAGTGATGTTTTATTTAATAAAAAAAAATGTAATCCATATTTTAATTAGCGCAAAACACAATTAATATGATTAATATAATAATAAAGCTATTAATATATATATAACTAATACTTTTATGAATGAAATAGTTTTCAATTGATCAAAAATGGTATATAAAACCTAATTTATATATAAATTAATATTCTAATGTTAATATACATTACATTTTATATATAAAAATGTATATTTTTAAGCAATTAAAAATGAAACTTACATTATAAATAGATAATCAATATGCTGTAATTTTATCCAAATGTCACTCAAATGACACTCAGATGAGTCCAGATGTTAAAACGTCATTTGATGGTTTTTTATTTTTTTATTCATTCATCACTCTTGAGCTTGAAGGTCAAGTCACACAGTGCATTGTGGGATGTCGTATCCCACACACTGTGCAAACATCATTATTTCAGTGTTTACTGCATTCCTGTCATTGCACTGATGTTGTGGCATTGACTGTGTGTGTATATATATGTGTGTATGTGTGGCAGGTGATTGGATTCTTCAGCCAGCGACTGGAGCAGGCAGGAAGTGACCTGTCAGTGGAGAGAGTTCAAGAGGTCATCAAGAAAGGTGCGGCGGCCCTCCCTAAAGAGCGTCTGAAGGTAAGCACACAGATATTAGTGTTTAATACATTCACAACTTCACAGAAACACTCTAAGCCAACAAACGCTGTCTATCTGGCGTCATCGACCCGCTTTCCACCACTCCACCCGTCTGACCTCTCCACTCTGATATTTGTTCCATTTTCAAAACAAAATATCTGGCTGCATCTAAATATGGAACCGTGACATTTCACTTCCTCCTAGAGAGAGGAAAACAAATTCTTTTAAGACACGTTGGATTAATAATTCACCATCTGACTGTATCACACAACTGCCATCTGTGCACACTTACATCAGGTGTTACCATGGTAAAAATTATTAATAATGATTTTATAAATAAATCAGCAAGATTTCTGAACAACCTTGTGTTTTGCAATATTCCATTGAAACAAAAACACAACACAGTAGTAGATTAATTAATTTAGCGAGTGAAAAAAGTTAATTTGCATTTTTAGTCCTTAAAAAAAAACTTTTTAGAGAATGTATATGTATATATATATATATATATATATATATACAGTGGGTACGGAAAGTATTCAGACAATATATATATATATATATATTATTAACAGATTAGAATATATAATTTTTTTAAAAATGTAATACTGCAGAACAAATATACATGTGTATACTATATTTATATATGGATTGTTAATTGATTGATTGATTTATTTATTTCAATTAAAATATTTTTTTGAGAAAAACTAATATATATATATATATATATATATATATATATATATGTACAGTGTATATATATTCTTTTAATTAAATCCTTCATGACATTGTTCATTTAGTAATTAATTAATATTTATCTATGCATTATATATGCTTTTTATTTTTGTTTTTCAATTAAAACATTTTTGAGAAAAACTAATAATTATTATATAAAGTTTTAAAAAGATAAAATAAAAAAATATATACACATACACATACGTGTATGTGTGTGTGTGTGTGTGTATATATATAGATAGATCGATAGATATGTGTGTGTGTAAATATGTACTTCTTCACAATAAAGTTAGAGTTAATGTTTTGGGTTCTTATTTGCCATTTGGCAGTGTTTGCTATATGTTGTACCTGCATGTTGGTGAATGAAGCTGTGCTTGATCTGATCAGCTGCAGGAAGGAGTTTGTCTGCAGCGAGTAGTGGGTGTCTCAACACGCAAGCGATCATGTTTGAGAGCAGGTTAGGCCTCGTCTTCATTATCACAAACGACTCCTTCAGGGCCATTCATTACGCTTTATAACACACGCGCTAATGACATCTGCAGAAGAACAGGAAATCACACAGATCTGTCTCTGATATACGGCCTGAAAGACCGGAATAAATCTCCGCCGAGCGTCTCGTTACTTCCCATCCTTACCCACAATCCCCTCTGATCGCCCTAAATCAGTGGAAAAGTGGCCGGTATGTGCCATTGGTCTGCTGTGTAATTGCGTGTTCTTTCACATGTTCAGTGTTTCGGATCTCACAGACGGCATCCATCATGTTAATGAGCAGATGAATGAGGACGAGGGCCGATAGAGATCGCTCATGGATGGGCTGATGGATATTGTCTGATCATCTCGGTGTGAACAGCATTATGAGGAGCTAGACGTTCTTGTCACTGGTTTACAGTGTATACAATGGTATACAACTTACTTGGTGTGGATGAAGAATAAGCGGCATTGTAGCAGAGAGACCAGATCTGTTTTCCAGTTACACTTGAGTGTGGCTGACTAGTTCATCTAGATTTCTTTGTGTTTAGTTTGGTGTTTCAAGCAGCTGTTTTCACAATAAAATCAGCCCAGATACGTTACGTCTTTGAATTCATCCCCTTTCAAACACATTCAGATGGGCGGCTTTGGCCTGTTTTTGAGCGTTCAACCTTCAGTGAAAAATATGTATATATCTGTAAACAAATTAGTCAAAAAAAATAAAAAGTATTTTTATATATGACATTTCTGTACCCCTCGCTTCTGAAATGATGGCTCCGCCCCTGTGTCAGTCACTGAATGTCATGGGAGAAACAGTCAGTATATACACACACACATAAAATATTAATTTGTAAAAAAAAATATAATTTTTTTTATAAGTATGTACTGTGTGTGTCGATTTGTCAAAAAAAATAGAAAATCTGTTTTTATAAGTTTATATAATTTACAAATACACTTAATTTTATAAATACATATTTTGGCAAATTTGTTTTTATAAAAATATACAATAATTTATGAGTACATAAATGCATATATGTGACCCTGAACCACAGAACCAGTCATAAACCAGTCATTTTTAAATACATCATACATCATCTGAAAGCTGAATAAATAAGCTTTCCATTGATATATGGTTTGTTAAGATAGGACAATATTTGAAAATCTGGAATCTGAGGGAGCAAAAAAATCTAAATATTGAGAAAATCACCTTTGAATTTGTCCAAATTAAGTTCTTACCAACGCATATTACTAATCAAAAATGAAGTTCTGATATATTTACGGTAGGAAATTTACAAAATATCTTCATGGAACATGATCTTTACTTAATATCCTAATGATTTTTGGCATAAAAGAAAAATCGATAATTTTGACCCATACAATGTATTTTTTGCTAATGCTACAAATATATATTTTAAATATATAATTATATATACTTTTCATATATACATATATTTACAAAAATGTTTTAATTATAAGTATAATTATGTTATACATTTTTCTATGAAAGCCTGTAAAATAATGACTGTCTGTGGGTTCTACTGTCTGCTGTTGACTTTAAAAAATGCATAGTCTTGCATCTCTAATTTCTGCTAGGTTTTCTCTAGTGGTTTATTGGCGTGTGTGTGCATTCCTATCCGTACGTTTTCAATTTATCTGTGTGTGTTGTGTTTGTGTCCTGGGCGTCCCCAGGACTGGGATTGAAAAATGATTGTCTAGACATCCAGACTCACGCGCTCACACACATACACACACTCACACACACTCACACACACACTCACACACACTCACACACACTCACACACACACACACACACACACACTCACACTCACTCAAGCATGCAGTGGGCAACTCTTATCAGAATCAGAGTCCCAAGAGAGCATCTGTGTGCTTGAGGGATGTTCCGTACCCTCGGCCCTGGTACAGACGGCCCTTATTCCACCACAAACACTCACACACACACACTCTCACACACACACACTCTCTCTCTCACACACACACACACACACACACACACAAACAAACAATGGAAGCGTGAAGGGCCAGACTGCCTGTCTGCGCAGAGCTCTACCTCTTTCTGTCTCTGCTGTTTTCTTTCTCTCTCCCTCTTCAGTGTTGAATAGGAGCAGCGACAGCCGTGTGTGACGTGGACGGAGTGACAGAGGCGGTGGAATTTGTTGTTTGGCTAGTGCTCTGTTGTGTGTGTGCTGCGCAGTGATAAGACAGAGACACCGTGGCTCCTGTGAGGGAGGGCCACATCAGCGTAACACACACTCAGACATGCTTTCATAAGACTTTTGGATGCATTTTGAAATACTCGCTCAGATATGACACTTAACTTGTCATGAAGGAGACTGCTTTCTCAATGAGGTTTTTTGGATGCTTTCTTAATGCATTTAAAAGCCTAATTATTTTGACATTCTTAATCTATGCTTCTAGGGTCATTTTGATTTAAATCAACCTAAAATTGGTTTAATTTCATAATAAATGTTTGAGATTGGTTAGATTTTTTTAATAAATGTCTCTTTTGCTCACCAAGGCTGCATTTATTTGATCAAAAATATATTTTAAAAAATTAAAATATTTTTACATTTTAAAATATATTTTCTCTATATGAATATATTTTATAAAATGTAATTTATTTCTGAGATCAAAACTGAATTTTCAGCATCATTACTCCAGTCTTCAGTGTCACATGATCCTTCAGAAATCATTCTGAAGAAACATTTCTGATTATTATCAATGTTGAAAACAATTGAGCTGCTTCATATTTTCTGGAATTTGTCAATCATTTTATTTTTCAGGATATTTGGTAAATAGAAAGTTCAAAAGAACAGCATTTATTTGAAATATAAATCTTTTATAACATTATAAATGTCTTTACTGTCACTTTTGATCAATTTAATGCATCCTTGATGAATACAAGTATTCATTTCTTTAAACAACAACAACAAAAAATCTTATTGACCCCAAACTTTTGAACAGTAGTCTAAATGATTCTGGTCTTTTATTTATTTACTTATTTTTATTTGCTAAATTTACCATTGCATGTTATTTTAAAGGGAAAAAAACAATCTTACATTCTAATCTAACAACTTGCCTGTGGAGCAACATTTTGACTCCATTATGGATGTGTAATATCCACTTTTGCAGAAATTCTTATCAGTATATGTCTTGAATCAGACACGAGTGAGTAACCCTCTCTCATTCTCTCAGCTCAAACAGAATGATTGTGTGTGTTTAATATATGAGCGTTTGCATTCTTACGTAAAATAATCAGTGTCCGTTTTCTCTCTCTCTCTCTGTGTGTGTGTGTGTGTGTGTGTGTGTGTGTGTGTGTGTGTGTGTGTTAGTGAAACGTCTCTGCTCTGAGGCTCTGACTGCTGCAAACCAGGGCCAAGCTGACTGGTGACCTTGGAGTGCAGCCAACCATGAGCCAATTCTGCCCGGGCACTGTCTGGCCCTTCTTTTCCCAGGAAACACTGGGGCCCCGCAGGGGGGGCATGTCTGTGTGTGTGTGTGTGTGTGTGTGTGTGTGTGTGTGTGTGTGTTTGAGAACAGAGAAGAGTTTAACGCAAGACTTCAGTTCAGAGAACATCTGAGAGTTTAAATAGCTCTGGGTTTACATCTGCCCTCAGTGGAACTCATGTGAATCCCAGCACCGCTTTATTTCCTCTTTAATGTTTTGATTCTTTTGAGTCACTTCATGATCATGGAGGTTTTATTTGTCTGAAGGTCATCAAACATGTTTACATTCTGTAGTGTGCCATAATTGAGAGAGAAACGAGTGGAAATAAGCAGA